CACTAATCAAGGTGTTCATCCAAGGAATACTCCAAATGGACTCAACCTTCATCCGATAGCAAGAAAATAATAAACGAAAAAATTAACTCACCTCCTGCGCCGGCTACCGTATTTATGGAAGGCAGCGAGCGGGTGGACTGGGCAGCAGTGGAGCAGGAGAATGCACGTTCTGGACTCGTTTGTACCTCTTGATCCCACTTGTTGACGGTGGTGTTTTGGCTCACCTGTTGGCCGTCGTCGGTCAGCTGAAAATTGCAACCGCCAATCAGAGCGTCAACGTCGAACAACACGACTTCAAAACACAAAAATCACTAACCAGATGCAGCATCGTCAGCTGATGTCGCAGAGACGCCAATTCCTCTTCAATCAGGCTCAGTCGACGATGCACTGCCGCGGCCCGATGCTGATGTTCATTGGTTACATTCTATAACGGTGTACGATCAAGAAACGGAAAAAGTCTGCATTTTGCCCTTAAAGCAAAATCGAGACCGATATCAATGAGGTGGTCTATACTACGATCGATCAGGATGATCTTTGGACGTAAGGATATCGACACCGGTTCCATAATGGGAGAAACCAGAACACATCTTGCTCGCAGAATGACATGTGTATAAGAAGCCGCATTAAGTGATCGATAATTATTTACTACTCTATGAACGTAATCGTCTTAGCCAATTGCACACGAAAGTCCGTCCAACTTCTTCCCTGTTGCAGCATGGCCCCATTCGAGTTTTATTTAATAAGGCAACAAATGGAAAATCGCAAAGTCGATCTATGAATCTATGTTCAAGCGATTTGTACTCTGATCGATAATGGTTGTGCACTTCGGTCGTGTAGGCTTCTGAAATTAATTATGCACAATTTAGCAATCCAACGAAGCTTCACCTAGGGAAAGACATGAACATGATGGAAAACTTTTACTCGAAATATCTGCACACGACACATCCCTGTTTTGATGATACCAAGCTTCCGTTGGAGTATCTAGCCCCCATCGCGTGGCTCATAAGAACTAGAAAATTCAGCTGAAATCTGATTCAACCTAAACAGGAATTTCTCGTATGTAAACGACACCATCATCATAATCATCAACCTTTTTCGATTCACTGCCGCATTAACACCTTTACAGTACTCTACCACAAACTTCGGTTTTCTGCAGTTCAGTCATAGGATGTAGAGGTCATAGTATGGATCATTTATTCTAACTTGGAACATCAGCCTGGTCGATTGTTTTTGCAACGTGTTAAAATATGCTAAGTAAAAATTGTTTCTTTATTGCGTTATTATATTATATATTTCCCTATTTCCTAGTGCAAAAATTTTCATCTGTTTTACGCCATCACAGTATCGGCGCATGGTAAGAAATGAATTTTTTATTCACTGATGCGGTTGTGCATCCATGCATTGCAGGTGCTCAAATACCATGGAGCTGTGGCCTGCTTACACGTTCCCTTATGCATCTAGAAGCAACAAGACGGTGTCATTGCGCCCGTCATTCAATCCGGAATCAAAAGAGAAAGGGTTTTCTATTCTTTACACTGTATGCTCGCCGTTTCAATCTGATATCGACATATTTTAAATATTATGTATCGACGGCGGTATCTAAAACTCAACTCTCGTAGTCTACCCCAGAATATCGGGGTTTTGCTTTCATCAACAATTGTTTTGTCCCCATCAATTATGCTTATTTTGCACAAGAAGAAAGTACAGAGGTCAACGGTACCGCTAGCGAGAGTTTCAATAATACATTATTGAATATATGATTCTCCAATGAAAAGTTATTGCCTGTTGTATTATTACAAAGTAAAATACAGGAACAATTCAGTTTCTGAAATAAATGCAAATTATTGACCACAGGTGTGTCTTATGTGAGCGTTGTCCCCTCTGCTGTCTAGAACGCTCTTGAACTGGTTGAACAGAGGCAGCATGAGTGCAGAGAAACTTACTGCTAAGAATGTTCGATTGAATAATTGACTGTTCGTAATATATCTTGTTCCCTCACGTTCTCCACCATCTATGATGACCATTAGAGTGCTGTTGACAGGTTCGCTTGGTTAGAACCACTACGAAAAAAAGCCTTATCGAAAGAAGACTGAAGATTAGCTAGAAATACAGATAAGATGTTATTTGTGTTCGCGGAGAAGCATAGCAGATGTTGGGAAAAAATTCAATTTTGCAGCAGTATTCATGAGTGACGATAGGTGGCTCGTGATACATAACTTATGAATCATTCAGGTGAGTGCTGTAATGAGCTATACCCCTTTTTGGCGATGAAAGAAGAGCGGTAAGGTACGAGGAATTTGTCTGTTTCCAGGTAGCCACTCTCACCAATAGTCATCAGCACTGGTTATTCACCAAAGGAGTACAGTTCCATGATTTGGGCACGTGTCGCAAATGCCTCCAGAAAGGAAGGCTATGCAACTGTTCCTTGCAAATCCGACCGGCAAAAGGCCCAGCGGACTGCCAAGATTAACCTGGTGCAAATATATGGAAGGTGTCTGTTCCAGACTCCAGTTTTCTTCTGCCGAAACTCAGACTCTGGCACAGGATCGGAAACGTTGGAAGCTCTGTCTGACGCGTCTGCCTCCGCGACCAGAAAGGAGAAGCAGCGATGGAAGACGAAGATGAAATACAGTTCGAAACACAAGAAGCTGAAATGCGGCTCCTTCAAAAAATTGCTTTTATGATGACCCACGGCACGGTCGTGGGGACGTCAATCTGAGGTACATACTCTTCTTAATCTCTTTTTAGTAGTTTCAGAGATCATGGTTGTGTAAAGTGTCACGGAAGACGGCCAAAGAGCAGAGAGAGGACAAGTTGTTTGATTATGCTGAGCACCTGGCACTACTGTGCCTGGCAATTCAGGTATTGGAGTTTACAAGTTTGGCGAAAAAGAGGCACAACTGGAGAAGATGGCTGTTTCTGTGATCCAAAGGGAATTGCGATCTTCGAAAACGAACGAAAGAAAACGAGTTCGATTATGACGAAATGCCTCTGCAAAAATGTGAGACTTTGACAGCGTCGCACATCATGATAAAAATACTGTACATAAAGGATTGAAAGCAGTTTTCTATCTTGATTCCTCGAAGAAAGTGTGGTGCACGCGTAAACATATTATTTGAAGCTGAAAGTTTCGCTCGCGCATTGCTAGTCATGCTGAGAGGGTACCATAAAACAGCCTCATAAGACAAAGATAAATTTATCGTTTCCTGGAAATAAAGCGAAACCGACGTTTTGGCGGACTTCTCCCTGAAATCCTTCACCAATCACATTAAACTAAGAGAAAACCACTGATACGTGGAGCAAAACGCCGCCATCGATCTACCACAGGATAAATCAAGAAATTGACACGTACGTTAAAAAATCATTTCATTTCTGCTGCTTCTATTGAAAACACTTTTTAGCCAATTTGACTAGGGAATACAAGCAAAGAATCCATGGTTCTTCGACGCGTTTGTTTTCCACTCCTGTCAAGTGCTTCGTTTATTTCTGAGAGAAGAATAAGCCATTTCTCTTGAAGAATAATCTCCTGTAACCGAAATGTACTTGCAAAATTCCAACAGCCACCGATCGCCTCTAAGCCATGATGAAAATGACCTTCGTGATCAACCGGAAGAGCGAGTCGTTTGCTTGGGATTTCGGTCGGAAGGCCTTATCGGGCACGCGCATAGGAGGGAGCTTTCATTTTGCAAAATCAATCAATCGTGAGTCTAACTATGATTCGTCTAACGATCAGGGAGTTAATTAAAATGAACAGCGACGAGGTAACTAGGGCGGACTGGTGCTGGTCGGCGTGCACGGCTTTCTCTGTATTCTCGATCACCGCAGGCTACAAATTTACCTGTTGCCAGGATATATAGCGGTGTTCATCGCTCTGTGGTCCCTTCGAACCGAATTTCGATAGCTGACGTCGACTCTAGGACAACTCGCGTCCAATAGTCATTCATCACATGAAATGCAGATTCTGGTGCGCGAAG